TGTCTCATGTTCATGCAGACAGAAAAAATAAACAGTGAGTTGTCCAGTTAAATTGAGATGAAATTTTTTGGGTCATATTGCTGAGCCCTGCCATATTTTCAACCCTTGTAAAAGTCAAATTCCAAAGCCAAGTTTTCCCAGTACGTGGCATTTGGCAGGTCATGGTGTCAGACCTTGATTGTAGTAATTTGCCTTTCAAAGCACAAGGATGCAGACATACACTCAACTCAGTAGTGCTGCATGCCTTATCATCTTTCCACTGTCTATGTTGTGCCCTCACCACCTCCAACCACTGACATGATACATCAGAAACAAATCGCTTTGTCCTAGACCTTGAACAATGAACAACCATTCTAATTTCTAAATAAACAAATAACAACTCTGATCATTTAAGTGAACATTTTACCAATGTAGTAAAGGGAATGAATTGTTCAACAGTCATCTGCATATTTTTTTTCTTCTGTGACATACATTATCCATTTAAATAGAGCGAAACTAACAAGTGCTATGCATGTCCTCCTTTCTTTTTGCACTTTTTTCTCAGCCTCCCCTCTAATTTGTAATGCTACTTTTAATCACATTTGTGCTGCTTGCAATTAAACTCTCGGCTATGACTGTAAAATGTGGGAGAACAAACTAAAATGTGAAAGTTTGTACTTGGCAGCAGTGATCCAGCCTTGACTCTGCCTTTCTTAAGAGCCACTCATTGTAGAACTAGAGAAGAGAAAGAGGAACAGAACCTTCTATAGCAGTCCCTGACCTTTATACACAAAATGCAGTAGAGGTTGCTAAAATGATTTTTAAAACACAAATACACATTCACAAAAGCCTCTGCCAAAGCTTTCCGGGATCTTAGAGGATGTGTAATGCTGTATCAGATATGAACAACTTTAAGCAATGCAAGGAAAATGCTTGTAAACAGATCAATGGACACATGAGAGCTAGACTGGCCACAGCTGTTTCCAGATGTGATCAAATGAGGTCGAGGAGGAAAACAACAAGACCCCTTGAACAGGTTTAATGGCCTGGAATCCCCAGATTTCTGCTGGGCTTCAGACCACATACTTTTAAAGCCATCATGACTACGGGCAGGATATTATGTATGTGTGTGTGTGTGTGTGTGTGTGTGTTTGTGGGTATATTTTACAGTGACATAAAGCAAAGAAAAGCAGTAAATCATCATGAGGGTTTGGAATTGTTGCTTGAATAATGACTTATCAGAACAGTTGCTAATAAATCTTTGTTTGCTGGCTAATCATTGCAGATCAATAAAATTAACATTTTCATAGAATGAAATTAACCTTTTAACAGATAAGGCCGTTCATTTTCTATATGAATAGTATTTTAAACGATCCCCATAAAACCAACAGTGAATTGCCTCTACGCATGGTTAATCAATCAATCGGTCTCCAACCTGGATTAGCTTATTATTAAACACACATCAGTAAAACAGTGCTGCACTGGGTGACACGTTTCTTTATTATGAAACAGAAGACCCACATAACTGTTAAAAATGTTGCCCTAAAAGCTCCAAATGACCATAACTTTTTACATCGTCTGGAGTCGGTGGTACCTGCGTGAGAGTTCGGACATCCAAGGGGAATTTAAAGTAAAGCTGCAGCTCCCAAGCATCGAAAGGAGCCTGTTGAGATGGCTTCAGGCATCTGATTAGGATGCCCGCTGGGCACCTCCTATTGGGGGTTTTACCAGCATGACCATTTGGTAGGAGGCCCCATGTAGACCATTGCATCTATCCTGGTAATGCCTCAGGGTCCCCCAGGAGTAGCTGAAGAACGCTGTTGCAGAGAGGAACATCTGGACCGATTTATTGAACCTGTTGCCACTGCAACAGGACTCCAGATAAATGGCAGAAAATTGATGGAATGATGGATGGGCCATGGATCTGTTAACACACCTCAAATACTTTTATTGGTATGAATAGTTACTGCCAGTGTTGGTGAGTTAGTGTGTATTTTCCTCTGTGCTTTGTTATCCTGGTTTCCTACAGAAGGTATTGTATTAGTACAGCTTTTGGCATAAAAATGGACAAATTAAATGAATTCAGCAAATAATTATTTGTACGTTTAAATATTTGTACAAAAAATTGATTTAATTCAAATCAGTGGCTTTAGTTCACACATTAGTGATTGATGTAAGATGCATGTTGATCTAACATTTGTGTGCACAGTGCTGTCTGATCACCTGGTCAAATGACTGCTATCTAATGAGTGTTAAATGAGACGTGAGAGTGAGATGAGTGGTTGTTTTGGAGATGTCACAGCTGATTCTCCACGTGGCTCTGATTGTAGTCAAGCGATACGTTTCCAGCTCTACCTCTCTGTGCTGAGGCGGAGCCAGAGCTGTCAAGCTTCTTAATGGAAAAGTGGACACACAAGCTGGTGTAGAAATATTCTCAGTGCTGGTGAAATATTGACTGAAATTGGTGAGCAAAAGGGTGATTGTTTATGGCCCAGTCATCGCTGGGAGATTTTATCTAAATGTGAAATAGATTTTACGTTTAGTGTTGCTGCTTTGTCGTTTGTTAGCATACTAGTCATTTTTCATGAGGATTGGAGGATGCTAGCCTGTGATTCAGGCCTCAGTGGCACACTTTACCGATGACACAGGAGACTGTCTAGCTGCTTAAGCAGCTCATTAGGAAAGAGCTATAGCATACTTCTGTCCAGTGATAGAAGTGGCTCCAGCTTTGTTTATGAGACTGGAGATTTTGTTGTTGTTGTTGCTGTAATTGGACAAGTACACCTGTTTGAAATGAATTGAAAACCAGCAATAAGGTGGGGCCTGCTTCAGTATTTTCCACTAGTTTGTTGTGTGGACTCCCATCCTGGCCTGATGTCAGGAGCAGGTAGGGTATGGTGTTCTTCCTTGCAGACAGGGCTTAAAAGTGCATTAGAGGTCACAGGAGATTGCCTGTTACCTCTTCCCCCAAGGTGCAGTTGGTAATGACCATAGGGAGCATAGTAACACCCCCCTACCCCTTCCCTCTTTTACTTCACACACATATCATAACACATGCACTCTCCTGATCCTGGAGGAGCTCAGGAGAGTGTGACCTGGGGGAGGCTAGAGGGAAAATCTGGAGTGGAATATGTTATCTTGGATAATGTTGGTTGACTGCCCTGACAGCCTGTTGATCCACACCCCCCTCCCCACCTCCAGTATCTACAATCTTACCCAACACACACACACACACACACACACACACACATATATTTTCATACAAACACCAGCCTCCTGCTGAGCAGCCCCCTGCCCGACCTCCTCTCTTTCACTGCAGCACTGTCATTCATAGAGTGCCAAAGCTTGCTGCTTTATTAAAGACCAGGAAGAGCAAGGCCTGGCCCAGGTTCAAACAGCAGTGCAGCTGGGACCTGTTACATTTTCGGCAGACTGCCCTCTTCGTCTCACTGGCTACCCCAGTATCTACAATCTTCCCCAACACACACACACACACACACACACACACACACACACACATATATTTTCATACAAACACCAGCCTCCTGCTGAGCAGCCCCCTGCCCGACCTCCTCTCTTTCACTGCAGCACTGTCATTCATAGAGTGCCAAAGCTTGCTGCTTTATTAAAGACCAGGAAGAGCAAGGCCTGGCCCAGGTTCAAACAGCAGTGCAGCTGGGACCTGTTACATTTTCGGCAGACTGCCCTCTTCGTCTCACTGGCTATAAATAGCTCCGGTGGTTGTCTCCCTTAACCAAGGAAAAAGGTTTTTAGGGGAGGGAAAACACACACACACACACACACAAACACAGATTAATAACCGTGGGAAGTAATGAAAGCTTTGTGTCTGCTGCCCGAGGTCAGCAGGCCAGGAGGTGTTCCTACTTCAAAGCCCCCATTGTGGCTTGTACTTTCTGACGCTGCTGCTGTGGGTTTGATGGGAACATATGGGTGCTGCCAGCGGTGTCATGAGGTGATGGCATCAGATCACACCAACATTACGATAACCATCCTGCCCTCATGTGAATATTTTGTTTGTTTGATTTTTATTACACTGCTATGGGATTCCATTAGTTAATTCTATCTATATTTTTTTATTATACTGATAGTGTTGTTTGAGGGAATTCCACCAAGCTCTATTCTCTTATTTACACTCACAGCATGAGACACTTTATGATCTTGGCTCCAGCTGCTGACAGCCGAAGCTACCTCATTACACCCCCCCCCCCCCC